AGAGGGGGTGAAGGGCGCACAGGTAATGGGGAAAAAATAAGAACCAAGATACATCATGTACAGGTACAAACACCCAATGATAAATGTAAATGAATTGTATACCTAAAATGTACCAATAAAATGTACCAATAAAATTTAAAAAATAAAAAGAATTACCACAAATGAACATTACTCAAGAGATCCTGGACTTGGAGCTTGCTACAGTGACTGGATGACAGGAAGGCTGAACTGTTCAAATGTTTTCAATTCTGTATATATGCTAAGTGCTTCTCTACTTCCTTCCTTGAGTTATGTACGGTCATAACTTCTTTTGGCCAACAAAATATGCAAAGTGACAACTCCCAAAAGTCAGAATACATGAGTTGAGAATCTTGACTTGCTTTCCCTCTGCTGATGACTGGTAACATCCAATATGAATTCTTCTTTGTCAGCCCAAAAGTCCCAGAAAGATCCCAGCTGACCCAATCTGAACTCAAAATAAACTTTGTTTTAAATTCCTAAAGGTTTGAGGTTCTTATCACAATACAACCTACCCTAGTCCTAATAGCACATCAGATCTTATTAATGGGTAAGAGGAGAGTACTTGAACATAAAATACTAGAATTGAAATTTTCTAGATTTGAAAGGAGGGTATTTCAAAGAATTCATAGGAAACTGACCCAATTCCACTGGAGAAAGATTCTAGAAGGAAAGACAACTAATGTGCAACTGACTGTTAATACAACAGATGAAATATCGAAAGGAAGAGGTCATGGACAACTGTTTGTCACGGCATGTTTGCCAACAGTACATACATACAAGTTGCAGCCTGGAGAAGGGCCTTTAATTCTTCAGTAGGATGCTCCTATAAGCACTGATCAGATTTCACACATAAGGTGTAACTTTAGTTTCATCCCTATGGTACTCTAAACAGGTACCCATGAAAAGGTCTTTTTTCCCCTAGTGCTGGGGATTGAGCCCAGGGCCTTCACGCTGAGTTAATCCTCAGCCTTTTTCTTTTTCTATTGAGACAGGGTCTCACTAAGTCACTAAATTGCCTAGGCTGGACTTGAACTAGTGATCCTCCTGCCTCAGGCTTCCACAGTGTTGGGATTATAGGCAAGCATGCAAAGACAATTTAAAAGATGGAAGGAATGCATGACTTGCCCCTGGGCTAGAGTGCTTGAAAGTAAAATGCAATTGGCAATTAAAGTGTTTTTTGTTAAGCACCAGAATACCAAGAAACTCCCAAAACATAAAGGAGGAAGTACTTCAGGACAAAAGTACCAGTCTTCGGTGGTCGTGGTCTTCCGTACTGGAAGACAAGTGAGGGCTTGCCTGTGTGTGTCCCTCTGGCACGGGGAGCAGCTGGTAGCCCCTACCCAGGCCAACCCTATTTCAGGGGATTGAGTCCTATATATACTAATATACAGATCTTCTGCTTTTAAATGTCTGAAAGACTACTGTGCCACAGTAATCTTCTTGCTCAGAAAAACAATATTCAAGCTTTGTGCCTTTGGATACATTTAAATTTTAATGTATTTAGTGACCCTTTGTGAGTTTCTCCTTTATAGGCCTAAACTTTCTTTATGGTTAACTATAAAATTAATGGCTTTCCCTGTCAAGCAAAAGAAGACGTTAACTAAACTATTAAATTATATCAAGATCTCATCGCTTCTCGGCCTTTTGGCTAAGATCAAGTGTAAATTATATCAAGATCTGTGTGCAAAATTCTCTGAGAAAAGACACATTTCATATTTTGCAGCAAATGGGGCATATAATGCTTAAAAGTTTCTGTAAGAATAGTCCATCAAAAATTAGCTTAAATGGGCCGGGGATTTAGCTCAGTGGTTCTGGCGCCTGCCTTGCAAGTGCAAGGTCCCAAGTTCAATCCCCGGTACCAAAAAAAAAAAAAAAAACCACACAAAAAAAATTAGCTTAAACAATTTAATGCTGCTATTGGAAAATAGAACCTGCTCACTGAACCATTCTCAAATAAAATCTTTATTAGATCTCAACAGTGTGCGCTGAAGGAGGTAATAAAAGGAGTCAACACATCTCCATTTTGGAGTCCTTCAAAGCAGGAAGGAAGCTAATCCTCTAGCTGTACCCCTGCCCCGGTACAGTGGTACCTTGATTCATGAACTTGATTCTTTTCATGATTCTGGTTGCAAACCAAGTTGGAGGAGAACTGAATGAAACTCAATGGTGAGGTTCAATGTTGACCTTATGGGGAAATTTGATTCAGTTCTTGTTCAGTTTGGTTTGCAACCAGATTCCTGGAGCGAACTGAGTTCATGAACTGAGGTATCACTGTATTTACCCCCACAAAAGGTAACAAGAAAGGACTAAACTGTCCAGACTCCTCTGACACATGGAGGAAAACAGTCTCACAAAGACATACAGAAAATCTGTACAGGTACTATCGGGGTGCTGTCTACCATCACGTTGAGCAAAAAGAGTGGGGGGGGGGGGAGACCCCTCTTTGTGATACTGTGAGACCAGAGCGACTCCATTTTGCTACAATCCACTATTCCCCTAGTCTCTCACAAATTAATGGTTAAAATGTGCTTGCTTTGGGACAAAAGATACAATCTGTAACGAAGCAAAGTTCCTGAGTTAATTACTCAGCCATCTGTTTGCCCAGGAAATGAATGTTCCGGGCCCACTATCCATAGAACAATCTGTAGATCTGCTGACCATCAGTACTTGACAGTCGGCCACTAACCTCTGTCCCTCTTTTCCCTCGTAAAACCTACATGTGGCCACCCCTCAACCCCCGATGCACCTAGCCAATCAGAAATGTACACTTCATGCTTGCTAATTGTCAACCAATCATGTAACTGCTAAGTGGAAAATCTCCAAACCTTGCTGTAACCTCTATAAAAACCCCGCTAATTTGAAATTCAGGGCTCTCAATCTCGACCCGCTGCGTCGGTGACAGTTGAGAGTCCCTGCTCGAGCTTGAATAAACGACCCTCGTGTGCTTACATCGGGATTGGCTTCCTGGTGGTCTTTGGGACAACGCGATCTGGGCACAACAATACCTACTCATGACCTGAAATATGCACCTCACTACTGAGGATGCACATATAGACCATTCCAAGTGCTTAAAATCACGTAACTGACTTCATGCTCAATTTAACTTCTTAAGCATACAACTGCAATCAGTTACCCTACTGCTGTCATGAGCACTCTATCCCGTTGGAAGAGACCTGAGTTCTGCTCTAACCACGTTCTGTAAGAATCCATGAAGAGGGCCAGGGATTCAGCTCAGTGGTTTCGCCACCTGCTGTGAAAGCACAAGAATCCGAGTTCCATCCCCAGTACCAAAAAAAAAAAAAACAACCATGATGTAACACTCTTAAACTTCAAGAAATATGAGATTCTTCTCCAAAGCGCTGATGCTGAATTAAGTCTGTCAGCTTCTTTCAGTAAGCTGTACTCTACTATACACCACACTGCTCAAGCTGCAGAGCTGAATCTTTCATCAGAAGTTATCTACGCAACAGAGTCAGGCCTATGCATCAGTTTGTCAGCACACGGAGAAAGAAGCTAACCCTCACCAGCATCTGGTGCCTGGCAAACTACTACTCAGAATCAGGACTTTAAAGTCCCTTTTGGACACAAAGTATTGGAGAAAGGATAATAAGTTTGGAAAGGCTGGATCTTGGTTGCTCCAGTACAAGAATATTGAATTTGTTTCGAGCTGTTCAGTTTAAGAATACAAATTATTTTTTAGTTTATTTTTGCAGTACAGGGGATTGAACCGCAGGCCTCGCACATGTTGGGTAAGAGCTCTACCACTGAGCTACATTCCCATCCTGTTTAAAACGTTTGGAACAGGCTCTAAGTCGCCAGAGGTGGCCTTGAACTTAGTGATCCTCCTGCCTCGGTCTCTGAAGTAACAGGAACTACAGACATGCACCACTACACCCGGTAATTATTTCCTGTTAATTTTGCACTACTGTTATTTTGCTTACTTTATACCAAATATTAAAACGATCAACAAATATGTGCTGATCCAATGTTACTGGGAGATCTAGCTTTTTTGCTTTGTTTTTGCTTCCTGACAGCAGTAGAGTAATACAGCATTTATAGTGTATCCCTCTGAGTCCCAGGAACAGCGCCACCATCTCCTAAAAACAGGACGAAGGCTTCGGCACGTGTGCAACTGGAAGAGCAGAGACCATTCTACTTCTTCTCTAGACAATTAATAGAGGCTTACAGTTCTACCTTTGCGCTGAAACTTACTCCCTGAACATCTTTCCAAATTCTGTTTCAAGAACCAGCTTTCTTGTCACTTCAACATCCTAGCAGCCCTCGTCCTTCACGGTGATTTCGCCAGCGAGAAAAGAAAGGGTCTTGGCTGAGTTCTGGTCACCCGCCACCTCGGTCCCTCACCTCGCTCGCACAGCAGGGGAAACACGACAGGAAAAGGCCGCACAGAAGCGTCCAGGTGAGGCCCCTTGCGGGCCAGCCCTCGCTAGAGCAAAAGGCTGCCCACTCCTGCGGGCGGGAGCCGCAGCCCACGCCTGACAGACCCGCGCCTCCACCTACCTACCCGAGACCTGCGCGCAGCACCTGCGGGCGGGACCTGGACCGAACCCGCGTGTAGACAGAGGCGGGACAGCAGGCGCGCTCCAGACCGCCACCGACCCACACGGCCAAGCCACCTTCCCCTCCAGCGCTCGGCGGCCGGGCGGCCCAATCCGCTCCCTGGGCCAAAAAAATAACCCTCGAAGCTCCGCCTCCTCCTCGTGCTCCTTACGTAAGGGAATTTCCAACCAATAGGAAGCTGAAAGGGCGGTGCGCGAGCCGCCCCAGGTGACAGACGACCCCCGAGTCCTCCCGCCGGCGCGAGCGGGCCGAGCAGTTGCTGGGCCAATCAGCAGCTTAGGGGCCGAGTGGCGAGGGGGGAGAAAGCGGGCAAAGCGGAAGCCCAATCCGATCGGGGGATGCTGGAGTGACAGGTCTGGCAGCCCGTGGCCTTCCGAGTGCGGCGCTCAGGGGGCGTGGCGGCCTGGGCCAATGGGCGCGAGCCCACGGTGCGGAGCGAGCGCCTCAAATGCTCGGGTTTCTCAGCTGATTGTCTCCAGCCGAGAGTTGTTTTTTGCAGCCACGAAATCGAGCCGCAGCCGCAGGAGGAGCCGAGCCCCCCGGGAGGAGGGGGCGGACGAGAGGAGGCGGGGTTGGGGGTGGGGGAGCCGCGGCGGCCGCTCCGCGCGGGGCTCGGGGTCCTGTCACGGCGCTGGCTGGGGCTGGAGGCTGGGGCGGGTGGCGGCCGGGGGGCCATCGCTCTCCCCCTCGACGGCGGCTCGGAGGCCGGCGCCTTCCCTCCCGCGCTCCCTCGCGCGGCCCCCAGGCCCCTCATGAGGGTGTCCGCGCCGGGTCCGGCCGTCGCCCCCTCGGCCGGCCGCGAACCCTCGACGCCCGGCGGGGGTGGCGGCGGGGGCGCCGCGGTGTCGGGCTCCGTGCAGCTGGGGCTGAGCGTCCTGCACGCCCTGCTCTACGCCGCGCTCTTCGCCTTTGCTTACCTGCAGCTGTGGCGGCTGCTGCTGTACCGCGAGCGGCGGCTGAGTTACCAGAGCCTCTGCCTCTTCCTGTGTCTGCTGTGGGCAGCGCTCAGGACCACCCTGTTCTCCGCCGCCTTCTCACTCAGCGGCTCGCTGCCCCTGCTCCGGCCGCCCGCTCACCTGCACTTCTTCCCACACTGGCTGCTCTACTGCTTCCCCTCCTGCCTCCAGTTCTCCACGCTCTGTCTGCTCAACCTCTACCTGGCGGAGGTAAGACGGGAGGACCGGGGGAGAGGGGCCGCCCGCTCGATCAACTCCCGCTGCGGATCGGGGTAGGGGCGGTGCAGTGGGAGGCGGACCCGAGACGACCCCGGGGAAACTGAGGCACGCCCGAAGCATGCGCCGGTGTCTTCGCCCCAAACTTGAGCCCTCGGCTGACTCGATGACTGAGCCGGGTTGGGGGAGTGTAAGAGTATGTGTACCCCGCCAACTTAAAACACCCGGGCCCCCCTTTGTTCAGCGTGCTGGCCCTCTAAGGTAAGGCGTGTTGGTGGCCCCCGAAAAAGTGGCATCGGAAGAAGTGGCAGCCCCGGTAGCTCTGCTGAAGCTGGACCGTGTTGAGGGAGGTTGGATGCTGAGGTAGCAGCAGCCCTGCTGAAGCTGGACCGCTGCCAGCCATTACGTCACCAGGCTGTTCCCTTGCTATTGTTGCTGCGTTTCTTTTATTAGAAGCTTAGATTCCCTCCTGTATCTCCCTTCCTGTGGCTCGATAAGCCTCCTACAAATTCCGTTCGATCGTTCCCCAGCAGGGTTAACGATCGATAACCAATGCTGCGGGTCACTATAGGGACCTCCATCCAGCCTTTAAATGTTTGCCCCAGTTCCATGCTTTAGTGATTTATTCTACTTCGTACAGCATAGCCTTTTTTTGGAACTAGGAGAGAAAATAACTAGCTTAACCTGTGCAAACTGTTTTTGCAGTAACTTGCTTAATAGCTGGAACCTAATCACACCCCCTTTCTCTTTTATGGGGAATTGCTGGTTGGGTTGCATTGTTCTGCAGCGCTTAGGTATTTGACCCATTTCAAACAGGTTTGAGAGTCGAAGGTTGTCAATCATGTGTGTCAGCTAGTGGTATTTAAGCCACTATTTTGAGGTTGCCCCAAAAAAGTCCGCCTTTCACTCAAAAGAGAAGCTCGAGAAGGGGAGGAAACAAGGTGACATCATACTTAATACTGACTAATATAGAACAATATTGGGTCTATGTAGCTAATCCTCTCAAAGGCTTTTGGAGGTGATGAGAATTAACAGCTTCCAGCAAAAGTAAATAACATTTGAGGCAAAGTACATGTTTATATTTCTTCTGTAAACCAGCTCTTTCTCTCTTAATAAATAGGAAGCAATGCATAATTTTTAAATCATGCAATCATAACTTCAGCTATTAGCACACTAAAAACAGTTAAGTAACAACACTCATTAACTTTAATTTTTTTTTCTTCTCCATCCTTTGGAATTCCAAGCAATATGATGACAAAATCCCAAACAGTAAGAAGCAGAAATAAAAGACATGAATAATCATAAACCAAGTCACTATGTGATAATCATGTCTCTTGTTTGAGGATGTCCTGGTCTACTAGTTGTTAAGCTATTGTAACACTTCTTTATACTTCACCAGATATATTGTGTTCTTCCTGCCTTCATTTCTGATGACTCCTCATCACTGAAGCCTTATTCTAGCTTCAGATAGGTAATTTACCTGAAGTGACTGGCAGACCATTGCTATGAGCATCAGATAATTTGTTTTATGCCCTCTATGTTTTGACTTACAAAATCATGTTAATGATTCACTCTAACATATGTGGTGGGCATTTCATAAAAGGACTAAACACTTTTTGCTTCTTGAGATATAACACGTATATAAGTGGACAATCTTATAAAGAATTTCCAGAGGGCCCTCCTCAAGATGCCCTTGTACCTGTACCAGCCAGTACCTCTCCCAAGTAAACAGTGTTCTATCACAATAGAAAAAGGCATCTGTATTTTAAGCTCGAAATTATAAAAAGTCTACATCTGCAGCATAAAATACAGAGTATCTAGATTGAGATTTTAGGCTTTTTGTTGCTAATATTCCATACTAGTAAGGAATTTAAAGTCTAAAAGTCTCCCTATTGCCAGGTGTGGTAGAACATGCCTGTAATTACAGAACATGGGAGGCTGAAGCAGAATAAATGCCTTGAGTTCGAGGCCAGGCTGAACTACATAGCAAAACCCTGTCTCAAGAAAACCAAAAACTAAATAAATAAAAATAAAAATCTCCCTATTAATGAATCCTGTGTGTGTGATGTCCTTTTTTGGAAAACAGTTAACCTAGAAAATTTTGAAAAGAAGCTGGACTAAAGCTTTTTTTTTTGCGGGGGGGCAGTATCTCCTAAAAAGGATGTGAGTTATTTACCTATTTTTGTCTTTTATAATCAAACTAACAAATACAACATAAACAGTGCTTAAGAGAATTTTCAACTTTTTGGAAAAACTTATTTAAAAAGAAAAATCTTAAAAACTGCATCCCTATTTGTTAGAGAAAATTCACAGGAATTTGTAAAAGTACAGTATTTAAAGTCAATGCTTTTGTATCAGTTGCATGTAACTGGAAGTATCCTTCCCATTGAGCATGCTGAATTAGTGAAATTTTCCCCAATAAGTTCATATTGTAGCAGACTGATAGGGAAAGTCTGTTTGTTGACAAATATAAAACTTAACTGATATTTGAGTTCTTTAACCCAAAGCTTTGTCTACCATCTGTCATATTAAATAACGATTCTATTTTACTTTGACTTATTTGAAACATTTGTTGTATCCATTTTTCACTAATTAAAGACATTTTAACTTTAAGGACTTGGTCATAAAGAATCATGGACCAATATAAAAAATTGTAAAGTAATTATTACTACTTTGGACACAATTTGGTCTTCCAAAACTTACGTTTTTGAAAAGTTATGAACCGCCTAACCCACTCTGTTTTTTGGTGACTGCATTGGAATGGAATTGAGATAAGGGGAAGTAGCCCTTTCTGAAACAATTAGGCTTTTCAGCTTCTCATACTTAAACTCCTAGAAGCAGATAGTTGGAAGGGAAAAACTGTATACTAATCTAAAAAAATGTATTAAACTTTTTCTGGCAGGATGAGTAAAACATGAACTTTACCAGAAAAGGGGTCACACTCCTATACTTTGACCAGAGCAGACTTCAGTCTTTAAAACAGATAGTCTTGATGAAACTGAAGCTATCCACCATTAGCCATGTAAAAGGATATAAAATGAGAATTAGTATACCATCTTGGAAGCATTGTGGTGCATGCCAGAATTCATTGAGGCCCATAATGACATTTTTTCCTAGAATTTTTGAATACAAATAGCAGTTCCTTAACCAGGATAAAATACACTCAGTAACAATGCAAAATCAGTTAAGAAAATTAAAAATCTTAACTGTCACATTTGTGGGTGCCATTATTGTCCCTGCCAGTGGATATACTCTTCCAAATATTGATAGCACTTTAACATGCAACTCAACTTACAGATATGTTGGTTTTGTTACGTTCTGTGATTTCTCACAGTATTTTTACCACCTAAAACAGAAATTGACAATAAGTCCGTGTATTATAGTTTTATCTCATAGTAACTAGAACAAGAGTGAATATACTATTGAATGACAATCTGAAAACACCAGAAATCTAGAAAATATTTTAACCATCTAATATGTGCAGGCTAAATCTATGAAGCCAGAGTTTCAGATATGTTATCTGTCACAGAAGTCATGATTGTAATGCCTTAGATTTTATGAATTTAATATTTGTAAACCACTTTATAATGTTTATCTTCTCAACTCCTATGAAATAGAAAAGGGCTATGATTTGCCCAGGGTTACATGGGTGGTATGTATCAGATGTCAAGACTACTATATAGCTAAAATTCTTAAAAGTCTTGCTGAGTAAATCCTCCTATGCCATGAACTTTACTGGATACCATTACTTCTTTATTTGGTGCTTATCTAATTTGCTATCCCATTTTCATCTTTCAAACCTTTTCCAATGTCTGTTAAACCCCCTTTTTCCCTTTCATCCTCAGTTTATGATCTTAACCCCTAGTTTAAGGCTTGTACCACTGGTGGTTTAGAGGCACCTGGCAAGACATACAAATTATAGTCCCAACATGAATGTGTTAAAGGAGTAGAAGCCAGAGCCATCTGGCTGACCAAAGAGGGAGAAATGCTTGATAAGTAAGGAAATTCCTCAAGGATATAAACCACCACCCAAAAAAAAGCAAATCCAGAATGATAAAATACCATACAGATGTTGGTCTTGGGAGTAATAGTTGTCAACTGTTTCCTCCTAGCCCATAGCCAGGTTTTAACTTTATGTAGTAGAGGTTTAGAAAGGTAATATTGAGAGCTACTCTTGTTGCAAGTCCAGTTAGAAAATTTATCCCAAGCACTACAGCATAATGTCCAAATCCTCACAGTACAAACCTGTGGATGAACTAGGAATTTATTAAGCAGCTCCTCAGTTTGGTAGTGGGGTATGTGCATGGCTCTGGGTGAAGGGGGTAGAAATTGGAAAGAAAAGTCTTCCCTGATGATACGTAACAGGCTTGTTCTTACACAAGTTTAAAGACAGAGTTCACATCACTCCTATGATTTTAGGGCTAGGTAGGGAAACCCACCCCGAATATGTAAAGTTATCTGCTTGGGAGTAGCTTTAAGAAGCTGGAAGGAGCAAATGCAAATCACCTGTAGAGGAGTGTACTTTAAACCCAGAATACTGACATAAAATTCCACAAAACAGGAACTCAAATAGCACATTGGAGAATTTTACCTACGAAGATTACAGGTATCAGAATTACGAACATACACAGGTTGAGCATATTTAATCAAAATAGGTGAAATGGTCCAAAACCTGAAATTTCCAACACATGACACCAAAAGTGGAAAATTCCACAGCTGAGTTCATGTGATGCATTGTAGTCAAGACAAGGTGCACAACAGTTTATATAAAGTTACATTTAGGCTATGTGAATAAGGTAGATGAAACATGAATTTTTGGGCTGGGGATTTAGTGTAGCAGTTTTGCCGCCTGCTGTGCAAGCGCAAGGACCCGAATTCAATCCCCGATACCAAAAAAAAAAAATGAATTTTGTATTTAGACTTAGATCCTATCCCTGTGATGTCTCATTATGTATATACCAGTACCCCAAAATCCAAAACAAATCTCAAATCCA